CCCTGTCACAACTGTGGCTCTCCCCTGAAGATGTTGCTGTGCCCAGTAGGTTCACCCTCAGACCTCCTAGCTCTTCTCTTCTAGCAGCTTTAGATTTCAGGTTAGTCTTTGCCTGAGTCACTCCTGTGTGACACAGAGCTTTTTCCTGGTTTTCCTCCCTGCTTCTGATGGCTTCCAGATAATGCCCATCTGAGTAAACAGCCCTATTATCCAAGCACTTTTCCAGAGCAAAACCGGTTTTCTTCCTGGAGTCTTCATTCTTTCTTAACTTCACCAAAGCCTTGCTTACTCCCCTTTAAAAATATCCAGCCTAGCTCAAAAGGCACCACCCCCACCCCCAATGGCCTCTTGTCTGAAAAAGAGTAGCTTCCTATTGATCTCACCCTCCTGGCTTTCCTGTCATTCTGTGTAAGTCTCATTAGAGCGATGTTTGGAATTCCAAAGTACTCATTTGAATTGATTTGGGGGTATAACTCAGTGGTACACTGATTGCTCAGCATGAACAATGCCTCGAATTTCATCCACACTGAAGTCCAGGTTCCTTAGCATGGAGAACATAGCTTTTCATGAATACAATTGCCTATCATTCCAATTTTATCTATTCCTAGCTTCCCAATTCCCAACTCCAAGCTCTATATACACAACTACTTGAACAACATCAGCAGGTCCTCAAACTTAGCATGCTTTTAGAGTGACTTGCATGTCTTCCCTTGAACATGAACCCCATTATTCAACTTACTAGATCTCTTATAGACTTTGCATCTCTCTCCTCTATAATTGCCCATTTGTCCCAAGTGTCTTTGCTGAATGCTGAGTGGGACTATGTATCAGCCTATGCTTCATTCCTGTCATTGGAGGTTATCATTTACTCTCAAGAAGCATATATCAAAAAAAAAAAAAAACAAAAAACAAAAAACAAATTCTAATGAGATTCAGAGCAGGTTTGGTGAGTCTGAGGGTGTGAGGTAGGTGGTGAGAAAGGAAGCAAACGGGAGTGCTGTAGAGTTCAAACTTCAAGAGCAGAGCCATTCTGGAAACTGCGGTGTCAGGGCAGGGCTAGCCTACTGGCTGCTGAAGTGGAGTGGAGTGAAGGTCGTTGGGACAGCCTGTGAGAGGACTTCATCCAATAGGATGAGCTGCAGTGGCATAGCCAGGTGGATGAAGGCCCTGGGTGGGGTGGGAGGGAAGCCATGAGTCAGGCTCCAGAGTCCTTTCCTAGATGGTTAATTAAGGCAGGGAAGTGTCTCTATCCTGTAGCCCAGCCTGGGAAAGGGAGAGAAAGGCAGGATGATGGACCAGCACTGGCTCTAGGCAGATAATGACAACAACCCAGCCTTACGACCCTGTGCTCTGTGGACACAGCATAGGAAGACACAGGGCCCCCGAGAAAGCCCCAAGATGAAGATGGAGAACTTTCCAGAAAGTAGTAGCATGTACAGAAAAATAGTTTAGTAGAAATGGCTTTTCAGAGAGCCCTGCAACAGAATATGGAATATCCCTGCAGTGTAAATTCAAGTGGACATATTCAAACTGGAATTTGTTAACAATCCCTATTCTGGAAATTTCTATCGTCTTTCTGGTATAATTCTCAGCTGTTGTAAATTTATTCAAGTTAACAGGTTGATAAGGAATGCTAGTCTGAGCCATCAAGCAAAGGAGTCCCAACTCTACCCATGGAATTATCCCCCTACACATTCTTTTATTCTGGAGGAAAATGAGTCTTGGAGTATTTTTATGGCTATAACAGAGATGAAAAAAAAAAAAAAAAAAAAAGAACCCTTATCTTAAAACAAAGAGAGTGGTGGCCCACGCCTTTAGTCTCAGCACTCATGAGGCAGAGGCAGGTGGATCTCTGTGAGTTCGAGGCCAGCCTGATCTACAGAGCAAGTTCCAGGACAGCTAAGGTTACATAGGGAAACTCTGTCTCAAAAAAGAAAGAAAGAAAGAAAATAAAATAAACAACAACAAAACCCCAAACTGAATAGGATGGTGCACTTTGTGATATCAGCACTCAGGAGACAGAGGCAGATAATTTCTGTGAGTACAAGGTCAGCCTAGTCTACATAGTAAATTTCAGACCAGCTAAGGCTATGAAGGTGTGTCAACAAACACCACTAACAAAAGCCTTATAAACAAACACCAGCAACAACAATCTCAGAACCTTGTGGGAGGCAAAGTCTTTAATGAACAGAATTTCAGAATTAGGTAACATTTGCTCTACCTTGAATTTCACTTGCCAAAGGCCAGAGGCTGCACCCACTTTCCACCCTTCCCCAGTTCAAGAGAGGAGGGGCAAGACAACTCTTGTCAACTGCCCTCCAGAGAGTTTGGCTAGTTTTCCTTAGAAGTTTTCGAGTGTTTGAGATGAACTACACTTGGTTGAATGGATTTTAAGTGTTACATGCTGGGGTTCTTTTTCTTTTTTTGTTTTTTGTTTTGTTTTGTTTTTGTGTTTGTTTGTTTGTTTTTTTTTTGATGCATTACCACCCTGTTAACATGCTGATTTTTTTGTTTGTTTCTTGAGACATGGTCACCCTGAAACATCAAGAATCACCTTGATTTCTTCATTCTCTCCCCCACTCAAGTGCTAAGATTACAGGTGTGCACTACTATACTTGGCTCATACACACACACACACACACACACACACACACACACACAGGGATGAGGTTTTAGACAAGATCTTGCTATGTGGTTCTGGAACCCTGGAACTCATGATGTAGATCAAGCTAGCCTCAAATTGCAGCTTCTGCTTTCCTAGTACTGGGATTATAGTAAAACAGGTCCTGTTTACAACTGACACCACGATGGAGTAGGATTCAGGTCTTGAAACCCAGGACATAGGCGGCGGCAGCTGCCAAAATGAGAAAACCTAATCTGTCAAAGTCCATAGTTCTGGGAAAGTCCATTAAATGCACTAACCTTGCTTTTTTGGCTTCTTTAGTTCTCCTTCTGGCTAACTGTTCTTGTTAACTGAGGTGTGTCAACCCAGGATATGATTCTTGTGCTTAAAAACTCATCCTGAGAAAGGCTCCGGACAGCACTGTGGTCCTGAATACCCAGTGTAGTCAATGGCTCCTAATAAAGATTTTCTACTGGCTTGAACCAATGTCTGAGTGATATCCTCTGATGGACAGGTCACAATAGGCATGTGTCATCCTTTTAGTCTCCCTCGTCCTCGTCTGGGCTCTTTTTGAACCTACCACTTGCTAGACAAGACCAGCACTCAACACTTAAACTACACCTCCAGCCCTACTTGAGGGCTTCCACAGCCTCTAACTACTGCCCTTGTGGAATTCCTCAGACCCTTTTAATCAGGTCTTCATACCACAGTCACAGTGATCAAAAAAACCCTTTAAAATGTCAAAACCTGGCCCTTTCCTGCTCCAAATCCTATGAATAGCTTCCCTTTCTCAGGTAGAGAAGTCCTCACGGGAGGCTCACATCACCTTCCTTTCTTTAGGGAGCCCCTGAAAATAGCAACATACCCCATCTTCTCTCCTCATCCAGTGCTTTAAACTATCCATTAGCACATATTATTGCTTTGTTTATTTGCACTTTCTCACAGGAGGAAGGACTGCTGAAGGTTCAACCCTTCCCCCCACCTGTAATTGTCCCTAGCACACTTTAGCTGTTCGAATATCCTGTGAAATTACAAATCTAAAGCAAAGAAGCACACATATGTGGCATTTTGTGTACCATACCCTGTCATACCTTAGTAATGTATTATTTTATTTACTCTGAGTATACTTGCATCAGTTACTACTGTAGCTCTGCATTTTTACTTTATTTTATTATTAATATTTGGTTTTTCGAGACAGTTTCTCTGTAGCTTTGGAGCCTGTCCTGGAGCTCACTCTGTAGACCAGGCTGGCCTCAAACTCACAGAGATCCACCTGCCTTTGCCACCTGAGTGCTGGGATTAAAGGCGCCATTTTTATTGTTTTGAGACAGGGTTTCACACAGTCCAGGATGGCCCGGACCTTCGTAGCACAGGATGACCTTGAACTCCTAATCCTCCTGGGTTCACTTCCAAGTACTGGGATTACCAGCATGCACCTCCATACGACTCTCTGGAAGTAGGATTTGTACCTTGGTTGAATCCTATTTCTTTGGAATATCACATGATTGTTTGTTTGTTTCTGTCAGGAGACCTTAAAATGAAGTTGCAGGCTCTTCACAAGCATGAAAGAATCCGTTTGACATTTTCGAGCCCTCCACAGAAATGAAGTTTTAGGACTTGAGGAAGTGGGCGTGTGTTCCTCCAGGAGAAGGGCTCAGACGCCCAGGAGGGACTGAGTACCAGCCAGCAGGTGGGGGGCACATTGAAGACGACTCTAGCTTGGCTTCTGCTTTCTTCTGTGCCCTCAACTCTTCTCTCGCCTGCGTTCCAGGCGTCCTGAGTCCTCCCAATCGCCCGGGGGCGCCCGAGGCTGCAGAGGGCTCTGCGGTGCCGCCCGACGTAGCACCTTCGGCGGCTGCGCAGTGCGCACGTCAAAGCCGGGCTCGAGCCGGAGCTGGGCGCGGGGCGCCAGGAGCCGCGCGGCCTGAGAGAGTCCGGGGCTTCAGTAGCCGCGCGAAGGCGGAGGCGACCTCAGAGGCGAAGGCGGTGCCGGGCCTCAGAGCCACAGCCGCAGCCAGACCGAGCGCAGCAGCGCGGCGGCCCCCGCGGGAACCCCCTGGGCCACCGTCCGCCCGCGCAGCCGCCGCCGCCGCCGCGGGAGCCCGTCGCCGGGAGCAGCTGCGGGCGGAGGACAACGGAGGGCCGGAGCGCCCGAGTCGCGCCGCGGGAACCGAGCGAGCAGCCCGAGGCGGCGGCGGCCGAGGACGGGGACGGCGACGACACGGAGAGGGAGCTCCCTGGCCCGGCCCAGCCCCGTGAGTGACCCCCCGGCCCGGCCCTGCTCGCGACGCGGACGCTCGCCGGCTTCCGCCCGGCCCGCCTCCATTTTCCCGGGTGGCGGCGGCGGGAGCGGCCCGGGTCAGCCGGAGCTCCGGGCACCGCCCCTGTCCTCGCCGGTACTAGGCTCCTGGGGCCTGCCGGCCGGGGCTGCGCCTAACCTGGAGGGAGCTGGTCTGACCAGCTGTCACTCCCGCCGCGCCGGGGACTTCGAGCACCTAGTCCCCGAGGTCCGCGCAGCCTCCCTGTTAGCGGGACGCAGGCACTATCTTTGTAGGGAACCATTCAGGAAAATGCCTAACTGATTTCTGGCTAGGAATTGTGCGGTCGGCGCGTTCCCGGGTTCGGTTGGAGCAATCCAAAGCGCCGACTGCGTGCCGGTGCCGTAGCGACTCGGAGGTGAACCCGGCCGGGAGGTGGCCTCCCTTGGGGAGTTTTAACGTTGTGATGTGAGAGATAAGACGGGTACACAAATAGCCACGATACCAGGCAGGAGGGCATGAGTCCTGTTTAGGAACTACCGATTGCTGGAAAGGTGCTGGGAGAAGAGCAGACCTGCCGATCGTTTGTTTCCGCCTTCCCACGAATCTGGGAGGTTTCCTGGGCGAGGCGGTGCTAAACCGGGTCTGGAAGGCTCGATTGGATTTGGGAGAAGGAGGTTGCAGAGAAGGGCGTGGAGGGGCAACCAAGCTATAGAGGACAAAGGTACAAAGAGCATGGGAATGTTGCTAACTCCATCCTCGATTGCCGCGATAGGAGGGGTAGGAGGGGTAGTCTAAGAGGCAGTTCGGGGGTCAGGTCTTTGAATGGTGTAGAGCAGCTATTTGAGCGACCTTCCGCGGAAAACTTAGAACTCATTTTTCAGTGACTCATGAAGCCGGAAATGTATGCTAGGGCATATTAAAGGCGCTCTCGTGAAAGAGGAGAGCAGAGAAGGCCACAGTCAGGGGTTGACATTGTTCCTTAAGTATAATGCAGTTTGAGATCGATTTTGACAGCGTCCGAGATATTTAAGTAAATCTATGGCCACGCCAAGGAAAATACCTTTGCTGAAAGTGTCTGTAGATACGTGCTTGTCAGAAGTTATGGAAAGAGGTGCCTAAATTAACCTCCTCTGCACGCACAAGGTGTTTGTGTTAGTGAGTTCTTTAAAATTGCATCAGAACTTCTGGTCCCGTCAGTTGGAATTGAAATTTAAACTGCCAATTCATAAAATTAAAAAAAAAAAAAAACTTAGCAATAGCCTAAACACTTGAACATACACCCTTTGCTAAAAAAGTTAAATTTTTGTTTTTAGTTATGAAAATATTGGATAGTCAGAAGTGAAAGAGGTTTGGTTTAGTTTTTGGGTTTTTGTTGTTGTTGTTGTTGTTGTTTGTTTGGTTTGGTTTTCGAGACCGGGCTTCTCTGTATTGCTTTGGAGCACGTCCTGGAACTAGTTCTGTAGACCAGGCTGGCCTGGAACTCACAGAGATCCACCTGTCTCTGCCTCCCAAGTGCTGGGGTCAAAGGCGTGTGCCACCAAAGCCTGGCTCAGAAGTGAAGGTTTTTAAGCTCTTATTTCATTAAAAACAAACAAACAAGCAAACAAACCTAGCAAGTAATTAGTAACTGCTAGGTGCCTTGAGTATATGGCTTGTGGATTGAATTGACTTAGAACTTAATATTGGTTTTGTAAACTCTTGTATGAGCAAGGAAATACCTGCTTTTTTCAGTTTTACATTTTTCTTTATGAAAGTAAGTCATGATCTAGCTGATGGTAGTGGTGTACTTTTAATCCAGCTCTTGAGAGGCAGAAGTTGGACGATCTCTGAGTTTGAGGCCAATCTGGTCTACATAAGCAACTCTAGGCCAGCCAGATAGATACACAGTGAGACCCTGTCTTTTTTTTTTTTAAGACATGCTCTTTGAAATGTGGAAGTAGGAGGAGCCTATCTTCCCTCATCCCCACCCCACACCCATCTTTAGAAACAGGTTCTTATCATGTAGCTCTGGTCCTTCTCAACTTGCCATCCTCCTGTTTTGGACTTCCAAGTACTAGGATTATAAAAATGGTGTGTGTGTGTGTGTGTGTGTGTGTGTGTGTGTGTGTGTCTGTGTGTCTGTGTGTCTCTGTGTGTGTGTATTTGTTATCTTAAATCTATTGCTTAGATTTTGTTGCTGTCAGCAATTTTGCTTATTTCCTTTTTTGTCTTTTTCTGTGTATAGTTTCTTTACATAAAGAGACATACTATGCATTTATTTATTTGTTTATTTATTGACATTTTGAGACAGCATCTTACTCTGCCCCAGGCTGTCCTAGAACTTGCTGTGGAAACCAGGCTAGCATCAAAACTCCAGATAGTTCTTCCGACTCAGCAGCACCACTCTAGAAGCTTTCTTAAGTGTTTTGTTTGCCTTTTACCTGGCAAGGTTGCATTATTACCCACGGTTTCTTGTTTGAAGTGTATTTATTAGCTTCTCTTCAAGGTTTGGAACCCATTGCTACTTATTTAATATATTTTTATTTGGCAGAATGCATGTATGTGATCATGAAGAATATAGAAGAGCACATAGCAGAGGTACTTTTAGAAGGGCACCTAGAACCTGGAGAGATGGCTCAGTGGTTAAGAGTGTGTATTGCCCTTGCAGAGTACCTGTTGTATTTGTAGAATCCAGTTCAATTCATAACTGCCTGTATAGCTCCAGCAGCCCCACACACTTTTGTCTTCCACTGACACCAGAGCTGGTGTCCACATGCCCACATATGTACACAATTTTTCTAAATTTTCTTAAAAGAAGGGTTTGTGAAAAGATTACATTCATGGCTGATACTCTGTTTCCCATATACTATAACGCTGTGGCCCTTCCTACCCTCCACCTACTACTTTAAAAAAAGTCTCTGTACTAAGGCTGATCACAGAGGTAACTGCTTTTATATTATGATATTAGAAAGGCTCAGGGTGAATATATTTCCTATTGGCATACAAAATTTCTTAGTGAAATATATGTTGTCATGGGGGACTTTATTTTTAATTTTAAGGTAGTTCAGTTTAGTTTATTGGCATTGTAGACTGTAGGTCCCTGTATTAAATCAGCTATTTCATTTGTGTTTTACATTCTAAAATGTATTTATACAGTTCCTGTTTCTTTTTCTAATAACATAGAGATAATGAAGTAGACTGGGTTTTTGTTTGTTTGTTTGTTGTTTGTTTGGTTTTTCCTTTCTTAGTTGTTTTAGTTTTTCAGAGACAGGGTTCTCTGTGTAGACCAGGCTGACCTTAAACTCAGATTGACCAGCCTCTGCCTCCCAAGTGCTGGGATTAAAGGCCTGTACCACCACTACCCAGCTTTGTTCTGTTTTTATGAGACAGGGTCTCATTCAGAACCTCAGACTGGCCTGAATTTAACCTTGTTGCCTAGGTTGACCTAGAACTCGTGGCAATCTTTCTACCTTAGCCAGATATTGGGATTACAGATGTGTGCCACCATACCCTGCACTTTTAGTTTTCATATGATTAATGTGAAATAGTTTGAAAAGTCCAGTTACTTATTAGGTTTGGTTTTATGATTTGTCTTATGTGAATCTGTATATTGGAAATGTGTATACTATATAGCGTCTTCGTTATTTTGTAATACTCAAAGCTTTTCTTTTGGTCAAGTATATTTGTGTTAAGTATAGATTTTTATAGCAGTTACTATATTTTACCAAGGGCATACTTTCCCTGAGAAGTTGATCACTGACTGTTAATACGTGTCCTGCTGACTGTATGAATATCTAAGTATAGATGCAGACACAAAATCACACTCCCCTCCCAACTAGCATAAAAGACACAATATAAAAATCCAGTAGTAGACCAGGATTTCAGGTAGTGTCTTTGGTTACTGTTGTTGATGTTGTAAATCTTAACCTCTTTTTAATCTTTGCCTCTTCTTCATGGGTCATTTTAATAAGGTGTTTGCTTTTAATGGGCACTCTTGTGTGTTATATAAATAGGAATGTAATAGATAATATGAATAGTAGCAAAATTTTTATTTTTGTAGATAAAATTTCATCATATGACAAAGCTTGGGAAAATGGACTATGTTACTTCTGACATTGGATGTTTCATTCTAGAGGTGTGAAGAAACTGTATTTGTGTGTGTGTACAGGGCAGACCAGGTAGTTGAATTTTCATAAGGGCATGTAGTCATTCTGTTGACTTTTGTCATATAAGCCTGATAATCTGGACCTTTAGTGAAAGAATGTGTGAGCCAGGCAGTGGTGGCACACACCTATAATCTCAGCACTGGGGAGGCAGAGGCAGGCAGATCTCTGAGACCAGGCCAGCCTGGTCTACAGAGGGAGTTCCAGGACAGCCAGAGCTGTTACGAAGAGAACTCCTGTGATAAACTTTGTGTGGTTTTATTTTTGTGCTTTTTGTTTGTTTTTTTCTGGGGTCCAGGCATATAGTCCATACCAGTCAAATGGCCCTTGTGCTTCATCCTCCTGAGTGTGTGCTTGGGGTAATAGAGGTGGTGGTCTGGCATCATGCCTGTGTAGAGCAGTCTTGACTATGGAACTGGCTCGTCCTCCCTCCCCCCTCCAGGATGTGTTCCTAATTCATAGCCCTGTCTTAGAACTTTAGACCAGGCTGGCCTCAAATTCAACAGAGATCCACCTGCTTCTGCCTTCTAGTGCTGAGATTAAAGTTAGTGCTTGAATTAAAGGCAGGAGCCATCACAAACTGGTTTAATCACTGTGTCAAAACAGTGGTGGGGGGAACAAATGAGGCAGTATTTTTACTACCATTACTTGTAGACTAGTCTGGGGATAAAATCGTAATGTTTTCCTTCTGCTTCTCAGGCCGTCCAAGGATGAGAAGAGTTATTGAGGTTCTTGGGAACAGAGTTTAGATTGAAGGTGCTCATTGCCATCAGCACTGTGTGTGTATGGGCACTTGTGTTGGCATGTATGGTCCTCTGCCATTTTTATCTTACAGAACTTTTGCTGTCATTTTAACTTTCCCCAGGAAGGAAGGGGCGGAGGAAGATAGACTTGTGATCTATAGCAGCTGTGAACTTAAACTGGCAAAGGAAGGGGGAATGGCTTGCAGAGAATTGCAAGAGGTCAATCAGGTGTGAAGAAGTCCCAGAGGAGAGTGGTACAGCCTGTCCAGGCCATTTATGTGACTGTGTCCATCACATACCTATTCCTTGATTATTTATTCTAATTTGAAACCTTGTTACTCTTGATACTCAGACTCAGTGGATTGTTGTAAGCTGTAGGTTTATGTGTGCTTGTTTATATGTATATGTTTTCCTGGGAGTGAGCACAGGGCCTCATTGTGGCCTAGGTTGGACTGCAGTTCACTGTTGCAGACTGGTCTAGCTTCCAGTGCATAGTCTTCCTCCCTCAGTTTCCTTCCTCAGTACTGGCT